TGTGGATTGCGAAGCTGGCAGCAAAGAAAGAAATAATAATTATAATAATAGAGGTTTCGGAATAAGGATAGCATCATAGAAACACATGTCGTCCAACGACTAAGGTTAGACATTTTCAGAGTTTTTACTCGATAAATATTTTCACTTCCTCGATCTAGTGTTTCTTATACGGAGAGATGTCAGTTAAAGAACATGAAATTTCTTTGGGTTAGAAGACTCGAAGCAGGTGTCTGCTTCCTGTTTCGCGTTAACTCTAGCCCTAACCTCCCACGAGTTAACGCTATTATTCTGGTAGACCGACCCTATGCCGTACGTAATTCTTCCAGGATAATTTCACCACCCCTTAGCTCCACATCTAAACATTCTCGTTTTTTTGCCACCAAATATGCCCTTCTCTGGAATATTATTCCAGTCTAAATTAGCTTGTCGTCTACATCAGCAGGTTTTAAAGCCAGATTACGTAAACATTTAACTTTAGAAGATATAAAGTCTTTATTATCCGTCTCCTTCCCAAACACACAACTTCTGGACTTTGAAAAGGGTCCTCCCGGTATTTGAGGCAGTTCCATCTATATCAAATTAATTTCCATATACTTTGATATTATCATCTACAGAGTCGACCATTGCAGCGATCTTTCATCCCCTACTCTTCCTAACAATCATTACAAAATGTTGACAACCGTTCTCCGTTTTTTGCAACCTTGATGATGGTCGTCGCGGTCTCTGGTGATTATCGTGGTGAGTTCTTCTGTTTTTGCCAGCTTATCAGTGGACTGTGCAGTCCACAAGGTCGTATCTCCGGCATTTCGGTGATGACCACGTGACCTCTACTGTCCCCTCATCGTTTCGATCCTGTTTCCGCGATGAACTCCTCCTGTCTTACCACCCGAAGGATGGATTCTGTAGCCAGTCGGACGGTGTTACAGCGGTGAACAGTAGCCTCTGATGCTATATGATTTCTCTAACGACAAGAAGCATCTCAGTGTATCGCAACAATCCTATCAACCAACCTCTTAATTTTTATAGAAGCAGTTTTTTCTCCCACGTTTCATTTTTCTAAAGTGGGGGTCCGCTGAACTCTGCCCCCGCTTTCATGGTAGGAGTTTTTTCACTGCTTCCTCCTTAGTTCACCATGCGTTTTCAGAGTGTTGACTATTATTTTTAGATGACGATATGTTGTTGGATATGAAATTATCTGCTTACCATACTTAACACTTCCGCTGCTTATGTAGTTGCTCACACAGAGCAACAATTATACGGGCGGGGCATTACGGGGCGCAGAAGCGAAAATAAAGGGACCATATTTAACAAAAAAACGAAATAGTAGATAAAATTATTATAAAAAACTAATATATAGCAACGAAAAAGTGCTGTAATTGAGGAATAACTTAAACCAAAAAATAATAAATTAAATAGATAAATTAAATAATAACTTAAATATAAAAATAAATTACAATCACCGTCGGTCACGTATTAAAGAATTCCGGGGGAGGGGGAGTTAATTTGCGTGATGAGCCCTTTTCTAGACTCCTACTCTTTGACCTTTGCTTACTTAAGCGAAGGAGCCTCGAATATGGGAATAAAATTGGGGCGTGCACTGTGAAATCGATTCAGGTTTGTTCATGGAAGTTCGACTTTTCATGGACTATGATCTCGCCGATCAATTCGTATATATATATATATATATA